GAAGCACATAACAGCAACGTAATCAAATCTCTCTCAGAGTTAACCAAAAGTATTTACTGTCTCTGCATGGAGTGCAGAAACAGTAAATACAAAATGTAAAACATATTATTGGTGAAATGTAATGCTTTGGCTGTTAATGTCCGACATTAACAAGACAGTTGATGTTGTGGTTTTCTAAACAAGTAGAAATTAATACCTTTCTCAAACAGCAAAATCCACTAGTGTACTCCAGGTACAATGCTGGAAGGTTATGAATAAAAAGCTAATTGAAAGAATGAAAAGAAGGTGTAAAATCAATAGGAATAGCTGCAGCCTTGAGAGGATTGTGGAGAAAAGTAAAATCAAACGTTTGAGGAAGACTGGATTTCAATTTGAAAGCCTTCACATTCATAGGTATTTAGGTACTTCCTGTCACGTTTTACTTGATAAAAACACTGACAGAGGGGAAACAGAGTGATTTTAATTTAATGAATAATAATAATAATAATAAAGGAGGAAACATCAGCAAGAAAACTGAATAATTACAGAGACAGAAGAGACAGAAAGGGTTTGATGCCGAGGAGGGTGATTTCTACCAAGAAGCAGGTGGTTGATTATCAAATGGGTGCAGCTGTGAGAGAAGGTCAGTCGACTCAGAGAAAATGAAAAATAAACACAAATCAGCAGGGACTCAAATGATCTAGAACCAGAGAGGAAAACCCTAACAAATAATCACAGAGAAAATAAACTGTGAATATACAAGAAACAGAAAACAAGAATAACTTACATAAATCGATGAACTGGTATGGCAAGACTTTTGAACATTAATTAATCCGAATATGGCATAACTTAAACAGATATAAACAAACAACAAAGAAATACATACACAAAAGAAAGTCAAACATCTTACCTGGACTAAGAAAACTGACGCTGAGTTCCCTTCACATGTGAGCAAAACTCTGTTGATATTCTCCCAACGTTGAAAAAACACAATTTAGCAATTGCAATGAGGGGGTTGGTGACTAAAGGGACGTTTAATAATAGTGATATACAGGTGGGTTTGGAGACATTGGGACATATGTGAAAGTGGATCTTTCTCTTAGTTCAACAAATAAAGTTACTTAAATCTATTTCTCTGAAGGGGACCTTTTATGAAAAAAGCACTTTTTCACATTTTATACGTCCATTTGGGTCTCAGTTCCTTCTAAAAACAGCCGAGGCGCTTCAGAAACCAGCCAGCAAATTTTTTGGGCAATAAGTTAAAATAAATTTAAGTTAATATTTTTGGTGTCTGGAAAACAAACAGTTTCAAAAGCCTCCTGAATGTTGAGTCAAAGTGCGCAATTACCTAACAACCTGAGCCCACCTTGTCACATAGCAACCCAACCTGACACCCAGCATGTTTGGTCAGCTGGTTTTCCTGCTGTACAATGGCTACTGGAAAAGACAAATATTTTGCTGTTGACTCACCATTCAGAAACCACTTGCTAAATTCTTGCTGCTTGTGCAGGAGGCTCCACTTCTGCTTTTCAAAGATGTACGGTTGTATAATTGCACATGTGTTTGCAGCCATTTTAATGTGAGAGTGTAAATGTTGAGTTGGGGGTGTGGCCAGCAGCAGCTTATTTAGATTTAAAGAGACAAGACGCCCTAAAGGAGCTCATTGTAAAATGAGCTAAAAGTAGGCAGAACAGATTAAAATCTCATTATCTAAGAATGGTTTCTTACAACAAAAAAGGAAAGGAAACATAAAATGTCACCTTTAAAATATGTTTATTAAGTGTTACAGCTTGTATTTATTAGTATATCCCTCATGCTTATACTGTTTAGTTATGTCTAATAAATGGGGAGTTGGACTCTGCAGAGCATTTACAGGGACACAACGACATTAGTGGCATTTAGTGCAAACTAAACACAATTCACAAGCTTGTACTGTGAACACATGTGTAACTGAAGGCCACATGCATCACACAGATGGTTTTTAATCAGTCCATGCACAGCCGTGTTTGTTTATTTAACTAGATGAAAAATATGAGCAACAGAGAATGTCAAAAATAAGTATTTAGTCTGAATATTTACTGTCAATTTCACATGAAACCCGAACGACCTGAAGCTCATGGTTTGTGTTTATAAAACACTAATAATCCTGGTCATGATCCACATGCAATTACAGCAGGAGAACAATTTTCTCATATTTAATAGTTGACTTTACTGCTCCTTTGTGGTTAGTTTCTTTTATAGCCTATGTGATATTTCAAGATTGGAATCCCAGTTATTGTTAATGAAATAAAACCATCTGAACAACACACTTAGCAACAGAGTGTTAGAAGGATAACACAGCAATAAAGACAGCATCTGTTAGCTCATATTTAATATTGATTCCACCATTTGAAGACCAGCAGGGTGTCATTTGTCTCTCCTGCTTTATTGCTTTTGAGAAATGTGATGTGATGATTACTTTGTCTTCATCTTCGTCTTTGTGATTTCTGTCTCTGCTGAAGCTTAAAGCATTAATAAGAGCTGCTGCTGCATTTCAATATTTAACTGGGATTGTATTGCACATTAATGTGAAGAGGAAGTAAAAATTATGCATAACTAAGGAAAATATGATTTGTTTTCAGCCCCTGTGCTCTGGTTCTCCTAAATACAATCCAGTGCAACCAGACGTCTTTAAAAGTGAAGAGTTAATTTAACTTGTGTGTAAATTATTCTCAACATGAAAACATTTCAGCAAAAAGTCAGTTAAATAAAAACATTATACAGTAACCAGTTATGAAAACTAGCAACAAACATTACATTTTGTCAAATGGTATCATCAAAATTATCAATACACATCAAATATGTTGATCAATGTTCCATTTACTACTAATCAAGGGAAACTCTAAACAGGTGGATGAAAATGTGCAAGAACATTTTTAGATTAAACTCTAAAAATTACAAATTTCTCAGTTTCAAAAGTCAACACTGAGAAATTCCTTAGAAAGTTTCTGAGATTAATCTCAAAATTTATGAGTTTTTTTTACTTTTGAAACCCAGAAATGTGTTTCTTCTTTTTTATAAAACATTTCTGAGATTATTTTTTAAACTTGTGAGTTTTTTGGTAAAAGTTTATTCCTTTTCTCTATCTACTCTGTTGTAAAATTCTGTATGTTCATATAAAATGTGGAAATACTTGGCAGTAATTTGTGACCAGAGTTCACTATTTAAAACCTTCAGCAATCATTTGAAGCCTAATTATTATAAAAACCTGCTTGAAGTGGTTTTTAAAGCGATTTTCAGAAATGTTTCCCGCTGTGCTGCTTCATCACTCTAAAACTCGTTGAAAGAGCAATGAGCTCAAGCTCAGCAATTATTTCCACCATGCATGTTCTTCCAATAATCACCATCATTCGTGTCAGCGTAACAGGAAAGAGGTGAGAAAAAAAAAAGAAGCTGTTCAGGTTTGTGAAGTAGCTCGAATTCAGACTGCCACTTTTCTGGGAAGTCGCTCCACAGTTTCAGGAAATGCAGGCAAACTTACCATACGTGTTTCCACAGAGTCAAATATGAACAGGAACTAACCAGAAGGAGTAAAATAACTGGATTCCTGTCATGTGAAAGGTTAGAAGATAATCACTGTCACCGTTTGATTCAGTTTTGCAATTTGCGACCGTATCCATCGGGAGTCAGGGGTCATCAGAGTCCGACCTGTAAGGCTTAATTCTTTGCAAAAGTAACAAAACTCAAATGTTTAATAATCTGTGTAGAAATCTGTTTTGTCATGTCATCATCCCAAATACACACAAAGCAACGTTTCCATTGCTTTTCTGTAATATTTTGTGTTTTCTGACGTTCTGGAGTGGAAAGCTACACTTTAACCGGGGGCGCAACTACATACTTTCTGAGGTGTATGCGAACATGTCATCGGCGCCCCGCCCCAATGACATAAACTTGTACAACTCATATTTAATTAAAGTATCAATAACGATAAATGTACATACATGTGAATAAATTGCTACCTACAGGGCAATTTAAAAAGAACGAAACAAAAAACAGGGCAATATTTCATCATTTAACATGTAAGTGAGCCAAAGAGCCACTTCTGTTAGCCTGTGTCTAGAACCGCCTACAGGCTGCAGGTCTGAGGCATTTTGTTAGCATGTTTTCTATTATTCTTAAAGCTTGATAGGAAGCTTTATCCAAACTGGCAACTCACATTAATAAAATGGTGAAATAATATTGACCACAAAACACTGTATTTATAAAAGATATCAACATTTTTCCTACACAATCCTAACAAACGTTTTTAATGTTGAAAAAGTAAAGGTTTATTTTCACAATATTTATTTATTTGCTATTAATCTATTTGTATGTTTTGTTCTTTAAATTGCCATATATATTATTTTTCGGTCTCAGGAAATGATTGAGGGATGAAGTGACAGATGTCTGGTTCTGTAGGTTCTGGCGGGTCTGCGCTGTTCTCCTGACCCATTCTGTCTGATATCAAACAACTCACTGTGGGCCACTGAATATCAATGACCCATTTTTTTAATGGCCCTATTAAACTTCACTGTAATTGTTTGGCATGGAATGTGCGTCTTTCCACTCATGTCTGTATTTTTGCCAGAGGTTTTGCTTCTAAGGATAGTGGACTACCTCGCTGAAGCAAACAGAAGGGGGGGGGGGGGCCGGACCGCTGTCAGTCTCATGCCTTATTTGGAAGTGGAACTATTGCACTCCGGAAGTGAAGGGGGCGCTATTTCATATATTATCCGCGGTCTCCCGTTTTTATTTATTTATTTATTTATTTTTTTTTAAATCTGTCATATATCTTCATCTTTAGGAAGGAGTTTCACTCTCAGCATGTATTTGAACTTCACCTCTTTGTTTATTTCAGCGCAGCTCACAGTTTTTAACTAATTCTGTAGCTTTTGTGTACTTCTAAATCTGATCCTTAGTTGCATCTTTTCGAGCCTGCTACTGCCTCTAGTGGCGTAGGGGTGGTAGCACAACTAATATAGAGATATCTATATAGAGATTTATATATGTATAAAGAGACACACACACATATAT